CCCCCCCAAGCTGCCACTCACCCTTCTTTGGACAATAGTGGTGAGGTGGCAGGGGGGGAAGTAGGAGGGGGTGTGTGTGTGGAAATGGTTTCATTATGAATTCATCTAACTCAACCAAAATCACCACTTACTCTCAATAATCTTACTCTTTTCTAGTTTAACAATTCCTAAAGGTCTCAAATAACCTTAGTATTGATAAGTCTTAAAACTGGGAACAGAGCCCAACAGCAGTCTTCAGCAAAACACATCCAGTGAGCTTCTACACTGAGTCCTACAGGAATTCAAGCTCATTAAAAATATATGTATTTAGTTGACAGCATTGTAAGTTTACTGATAAAAACAGACTAGGATCTCACTCAGATCTTCATGCAAAATATCCATTTAGCAGCAAAATTCTCTACTTCATATTTAGGTTTCAAAAAACCACAAAGAACTGAAATGCAACTATAAAGAAGACAACAGATGTAGGTGACTATGACAAGCATTTGCCACCTTCTTGACCACACTTTCCACTTCTAAAATAAATAAATGAATAGAAACTGCACTTTGTGTTCTCTTACTAAATCTGGAGAAATTGTTTTCCTACTTTAAAGATTTATTTTGCCACACATAGTTTTTTGTGTGTTTGTGTAATGACCCATAAACATAATCAGAAATTTAAAAAGGAAAGGAAAAAAGAGATTAAAAAATGCTTAGGAGCATTTCTTTGGATTTTTCTTGGGTTTTATAATTTCATTGTGGATAATTTCAGCGTGCCATTTGAGGTGTGTCCTCTTAATATCCATTATGTATAATGAAATTGCACTGTGGATATACACATACATTTATTGACTATTCTGTATTTCAAAATTCTAATCAAACAACCAGATGTGCAGAAGTCTCTTGCATCTGGCTCTTTCTGAAACACTGTATACAGGCATCAGTTTATAAAATTGGATTACATTCACAGCCCTGCCTGTATATAATCCTCAAAGCTATCAGCATTATCAAATGTGTTGCTATTGCTTTAATTTGTTGGAACCACAATACAGAGCTTAGAAGACATCTCTTCAGTGATGCAAGCCAGATTACAGTTCATGGTATGTTGAAACAATACACAGCCTATACACAGTGAAACTGTAGCCTCATTTAAAATATTACAGCATATCAAAGAAATGCAGGGACAACAACAATAAGATATTTTGGTCTCTTCACAGAGGTAAAAATTGCTAAAAGATGTGTAGTAACTTTGGATATGAAAATATTATGAACAGAGCAGGGAGCTGAGTGCAACCTTACTATATACAAGAAGTCTATCAAATAGCCTTTAAATTTGTTTGATTTTTGTCACTCAGCTAACTATGCCTTGATCCTCATTTCCAAAGAGCTGTGACTCAAGCCTGAATTGAAAATTTCCAGGTATCGCTTCCTCAATAAGCACATTAGTTCAGTGTGCCAGGGTGCACTGTATAAACTGCCCTGGTTTATTTCAGAGACATGCTTAACATTTCTATCTTCCCTGCCATAGCTATAAATGAATTCTTAGGTACTCACACAAAGCCAACGGCATAACTACAGACATCCACAACGTCTAGCATTAGTTTTGGATGAATCACCTGGAAGAATTTTTATTGAATGCAAGTGCCCTTTGTATTGTGATTAGCATAGAAGAGACTAGGAAGTCTCCCATTAAGTGTCTTTTAAAATATTAATAAAATAAAATCACAGAACCATGAGTTGAAGGTATATTATTTTTGGATTTAGTGAGCTGTAGGTTGTTTTTTTTTTGTTTTTTTTTTTAATGTTGTGCAGAAACAATACACATTAATATCACCAAA